GGCCCGGGCAGGGAGCAGCCCAGCATGGCCCTGACTCGCTCTCTGCCTGTGTCCGTGGGCTCAGTCTCCCTGCAGGAACACACGCTCTCCAGACAGAAGCCCCAGGGAGACCCCTCCAGCCAGAGGGGACGGTGTGCAGGGAGGCGAACCCCCAACGGCTCTGGGGCGGTTGCACACAGGTCTGTGTCGGGGCAGAAATATGTCAGTTTAGCCCTGCCAGGTGGCTCAGTTGGTTGAGCATCATCCTGTGCACCAAAAGTTTGCAGGTTCGATTCCTGGTCAGGCACATACTTAGGTTTCGGGTTAGATGCCTAGTTGGGATGCACATGGGAGGCAACCAATCGATGTTTTTCTCTTACATTGATGTTTCTCTCTCCCCCTTCCTCTCTCTCTAAAATCAATAAAAACATCCTCAAGTAAGGATAAAAAAAGAGAGAAATATATCAGTTTGGTGGCTGCCATCCTTCTTGTAGCACCAGTGGGCTCAGCGTCCCCTTTGCCTTCCCGGGCACTGGGCTTGGGAGACTTCCGGGCAGTGCCCACAGACCCCGTGCTCCTGTTCTCACGCTCTGCCCACCTGGTGCACGGCCTGGGTGCCAATGTCTGTCTGTGGCCGAGGCAGTGAACACCCGTGTGCCTGCACTGCCCTCAGAGACACCCTCCCGTACCTGTCCCCCGCCCTCCAGAGGGCCACCGCCACGGCCACACTTGGGGTGTCGGCCTCTCAGAAGGGGTGTCACTGTGCCCTTAGTTCGCTGCCTTTGAGTGTCCAACCACCTGGCTTTCCTGTCTGTTCTCAGGGCCTCCTGCACCCAGGCTGGGGCAAGACTCCACTTTGACAGGTGGGGAAGCCAAGGCCTGAGGGTGAGGGGGTGCCCTGTGGATCATCGGAGGTGGCAGGGATCAGGGGAAGGACGAGGGGCAGACCCCTGAGATCCATACTGTCATACTGTCCTTCTTCACAGCCAGGGCTCGAGAAGGCAGGGGCCTGAGCTGTGCCTTTACCCCCCACCCCCCCAGGAACCAGGCACCCTGTCCCTGAGGGCTGAGGAGGAGGATTAGGAGGTTGTTGGCGCCCTTGAAAGCTGAGCCTGCGGGCAGATCTGGGAATGGGTGTCTGACCCCGCTGCGGCCTCCGCAATCCGGAGAAAATCCTCGAGGCCCAGTTAATACCAAGACCAATTTTTATTTCAACAAAGTTAATTCTCAACAATGTGATACTGAGGGAGAGGGATTTTCCTGCGGGGGGGGGGGGGGGGGGCAGGGGGGAGCTGCGGTCCTGACACGGCGCCACCCTCCCCCTCACCCCAGCTGTCCCCACCGCCAAGGTGGGGGACGGAGCAGTTCAGGCTGCTCCTCTGGGGTGATCCCACCCCCCAGCTTTGCTCCCTGGACCTGATGCCCTTCCTCCCTCACAGCCCCCCGACAATGGACCTCAAACCCGCTGCCTCTCTTAGCTCCTCGCTGAGAGTGGGGTCCAGCCCAGCTGTGTCCTGGGCAAGGGCTTCACTGAGGAACGAATGAGCTCGTGTCCCTTGGGTCATACAAACCTAGTGTGTCCCCCCCACCACCACCACCACTTCCAAGGGTGTGGCTTGGCCTGGTCGTGGCCCAGGTGCTTGCTTGGGTGACAGAGGGCGCCCCCCACCTCTGCCTACCTCCAGGAGCCCTGAGGGGAGAGGAAGAGAGAGGCTGGGGCCCAGAGCGGCCCAGGCGACCTCACCGCCCCCGGCTGAGCCTGGGCCCCAATCCAGAAGCTGCTCTCAGGCTGAGGAATCAATGGGTCGGCGGTGGGAGGGTTGGGAGCCCTGAGCCCTGTCAGAAATTCCTCCTGACAAGGACCACGTGCCCCCACTGCGTGCCCTGCCTGCCCGGCTCCTGCCGTCTTCCAAGTGGGGCGCCCACCACTCCCTAGTCCACAGGGGAGCAGCCACTCAAGGCCTTGCCCCGACACAAACCGCAGCCCACACCCCACGCCTGTGGCCGGTGCCCTGGAGCCTCCTGGTGGCACAGCCGAGGGAGACTCGTGAAGGAGGGGCCCTCCCTGGAGGGCAGGGGGACCAGTGCATGCAAAGGTTAGAGGTACATCCGGGTTGCCGGGGACTGCCCACACTGGCCCCCAGGCTTCACTCTGAGGGTACTGCCCGAGGGCAGGGGTGGGGGCCCAAGGGCACCCTACGACAGGCCAAAGTCAAACCAGATGGGCTGGGGGCCTCGTGGGGCAGGCGGGCCATTCGTCACCGTTATCTGCCCCGCCGCCGAAATCACAAACACATTTTTAAGTGAAGGACTGGCTGCCACCGGCCTTCGAGCCCTGATGCCGCCCAGCTGTGGCCACACTGGGCGGGGAGTGGGGCTGGGGGAGGGTACTGGAAGGGGGAGGACGGGCCAGCAAGCGGTGGCCTGAGGGAAGAGCGCCTGCTGCCGCCGACATGCCCCCCCAGGTCCCCCACTGATATCTACGGCCTCCTTCCAGAGCTGGGTGCAGGAACCACAGAGCACCCCCCAGCTCTGTCTTGGGCGCCCCTGCCTCCGCCTTCCTCCCAGAGCCTCGGCATCACACACTCACCCTCTGACCCATACTCTGATGTCAGGGTTCCTCGGGGGGACAGAGGTGGGGGATATACCTTCTGCGTGGGGCTGGCGGCTCAGTGGTCATTTCCTGGGATGGGCCTGGGGACAGACCCAGAGAGACAAAGACAGAAATAGGGGCAGGTGATAAAGGGAGACAAGATAAAGGGAGAGTGAGCCTGGTGCCTGTCACCAGAGGGCCACGCTGGGTGTCATACAAAGCCCGCTGAGCCTCCGTGGCTGGGTTGTCTCGCTGGCGGTGGCAGTCTCCACGGTGTCCTCTAGGGGGTGCAGGTGAGGGTGGGGCTGGGATCTGTCTGGCCATCACTCTGGGAGCCAAATGCAGGTCCTGCCTGGCACCCTGGACCCCCAGGCAGGCCCAGGGGGGTGGGAGGCGCCAGGAGAAATGGCCTGTGACGGGGTGGGCATCCCCGGCGGGAAAGCAAACAGTGTCAGCGGCTAATGAGCGGGAACCGGGCCTGGGGCCGGGGGCCTGGGGAGGGGCACAGCCATCGCTCATCCTGACAGGCGGGCGGTGAGGGGGGGCTGGGGACCAGAGATGGAGGGGAGCATGAGAGCCAACAGAGGGTCCCTTGGAGACACGACCCTGAACACAGACAGACAGAGGGGAGGCAGCCAGGAACC